TAATGGAATTATTGAGTAATAATTCTATGTTTAGGAGGTCAAGTGTATGCTTTGTGGCTGCTCCTTGGTTCCAAAGTGTTGTATTGCTTTGTTGAAATTCCTGAGAAACGAATCCTGAATTCAGTTTATACAACGGTCTTATGAGGAAGCCAAATTCTAGATGCTCCCAGAAGAAACACCATCCAATGGCAAATGTGTGACAATTATTTCCACACTTCATTCTCATAGATCACAGACATATCAATCTTGGATCTAATTCTCAAAACCAGAAAGATGACCAGCTATAAAAAGAACAGCTTTGTTCAGAGGTGGAGAAGAGGAGCCAACTGGCTGTAACTCTTCCCCATGAACCCATGTCTAAATAAGCCATCAGAGCCCAACATCTAGTGACTGGAGAATAGGAACTAAATAACTGATTGCAAGGTAGATGAGTGAATAAAAGATAAAGACCCACACTCTGCTGGCCCACGACTGTAATACTAGTTACCTAGGAGGCTGAGATCTGAGGATGGTGATCTGAGCCAACCTAGGCAGAAAGTCCTGAGACTTTTTTTGTTGTTGTTGGTTGTGAGTGCTGTCCCTTAGCTCTTCAGCTCAAGGCTAGCCCTCTACCACTTGAGCCACAGCACCACTTCTAGTTTTTCTGAGTGGTTTATTGGAGATAAGAGCCTCACAGACTTTCCTGCCTGGGTTGGCTTTGAACCATGATCCTCAAATCTCCTGAATAGCTAGGATTACAGGCATAAACCACTGGTGCCCAGCATTCTAAGACTCTTATCTCCAATTAATTATGTCCCCCCCAAACCAGAGGTAGAGTTGTGGCTTAATTGGTAGAGTACTAGCCTTGAGCCCCAAAACCTCAGGGATAGCACCCAGGCCCTGAGTTCAAGTCCCAGGAACAGCACACACACAAAAAATGATCTAGACAGGACCAAAGAAAAGAAATCATAATTTGGGGGAGAACAATTAAGGTTTTTGAAAAGTCAAAAGAAAATTGCTAAAGTAAGATTCCAAATGAAATAAAGTATGGCGTCTGTCATAGGAAGAAACATTACACCTGGATGAGGCTAGATCTTTTCCTTGGTTAGTGATATTTGGGCTGCCACAGTAGAAATAAGATTTCTGGGAGGCTGGAAAGCTGGAGACAGAGGTGCTGCCCTGGAAATCCAGGGGTAAGGGGTAATTCTTATTTTTCTCCCTAGATTTGGATGGGACTTTCCTTTGGATTATGGACAGAAAGAAAATATCTTTCTGGCATTTTCAAAATACTAGAGTTAGATGATAAGTATACATTCTTCAGAAATTAGATAAATTAGGTCACAGAGAGGTCATAGTGAGGATGGAACTTTTCAGGTCAAGCCAATGCTTACATTCCATGCATAGCTTCACTAACAGCTGAGTGATCCTCAAGGTCATTCTCTTGACAGCTAGGGGAAGTGGCCCAGAGATGGGAAGTCTGTTTTTAACTTGGGTGGCCATGCTGCTCTAAGTATGATTAGGTATCTTTTTACTAATAAGGTCAAGAACTATTTTTTTCAATGATATTTAAGTAGTTGTACAAAGGAATTGCCATTCAACACAGCAGTTTATGGGTATACTATGTCTTGATTAATGTCATTCAACATTCTTACCCATTCCTCTCCTACATTTCTTTCCTCACTCTTCTTAATTCTGTAGGACCAAGAACTATTTTTCATTTATTTTCTTTTTATTAAACTGTAATCCATCTAAGATGCAGTTTATATAAAGACTACTTCTGAAATGTGTGGTTGGCGTCATAAGTGGGATTCACACACCAAACATCATCATGGTATGAATTTGTCAATGATATCAGAATACCAAGGGATAAAACAGGGAGCTAAAAGTGTATGGATAGTCTGTGGCATGAAATGACTGGTGTTCTGAAGGAGACATTTTGGGGGGAGCACTCACGGTACCATTGTAGCCAACCAGCCCAGGACAGTAAATCATTACAGAGTAACAAGTTATTGGTAAGGGAACCCAAGATAAACTTTCCTACACTCTAGTGTACTTTTCAAAGATGCAGTCATTGCATAACATCACAGAGATTGACAAACATTTAGAAGGGAATGAGATTGTGAGAATTCCCTCCAGCTTTGGCTCGACTGGCATTTGCTTTCTTTCTAGTCAGAAATGATACCTTGGTAAGAGAATAATATAATGAAGATATACTCTAATCTTCCCTGCTGAAGTGGGTTAAAAATAAAGAAGACAATTTAGAGGAAGAAAGCATTAATTTTAACTATATTCCTACCTTCTTAACATATTTATGCAAATCATGCTGGTTTTTTTTTTTTATTATGGAAGACTTAAAAGGAAATTGCGAGTCGGAAACTCTGCCACTTTGGAGCAAGCTGACTGCATTAAATTTTCGGTGGGAGAAACTTCAGAAATTCATTTTAAAAAGTGGTCTTCTAAAGGAAAGGCTGAAGATACTTAATTGAGGACTAAAACTTCCATTGGCAAAAAGTGTAACCATTCTTATTCTCAGACATAGTTTTAGGCGAAGGTGACCTGGCTGGATGGGAGCCAGGGACATTCAGAGCGAGGCTGGCAGCCTGCCTGACATCTCCAAAGCCATACATTGTGGGAAGCACAGTTTTATTTCTCTTGGTTGTTTTTGAAATTAGATTTCAGGATAGCTTTAGGATGGGAGACCAGTTGAATCCCTCACTCATTTAATACAAAAGGTACCGCAATGTTGTAAGTTAAGTATGGCGGTGAGATGTTACATACAGACACTATCTAGGAAGGGGAGAGTTTCATGTATGGGAGGGGGGAGGGTATGAGAGTTGGTTGGAAAACTCCTGAACATAATGCCAACGTAAATGGCATAGGTCTGGAAAGATAAGGGTGTGGGATCAGTGTCATGCTAGGAGCCAGCAGAGTAGGGAACCTGGAATGTGGGTCCTTATTAGAGATAAACCAATAAAGAGCCAGAGAATGCCCAGTCATGATCAGTTGCATAGCTCTTCATGGAATGACAATACCACCATAAAATATGAAACAGACCTTGATTCTGAAAAGGGATTGGATAAGCCATCCTGAGATGCATCACCTATGATAACATGGGATAGAGGATGGAGAAAGGTACTTGTGATCATCCCTGGGCTTCATAAACCAAAGAATATTCAGCGGAACACTTTTGGAACGGGCTTTTAGAACACAGAGGAATTGGAAGCAGACTTTTTTTTTCCAGGAACATCTGTATATTGACTGTTTTCTTTGCCTAGATGAAGGAGCAGTTTTGCAGATGTGAAATTCAGTTTACGAGCCAGTATAGTATATATTTTCCCTTTAATTAACATATGCACATTATATACTAGGTCTTGAACGCAGAGTCTGGCTCTACCGCTTAAGCCATGCCTCCAGATCCAGCTTTTTGCTGGTTAATTGGAAAGAAGTCTCTTAAGGATTTGCCTGCCTGGGTTGCCTCTACATCTCTATCTTTAGATCTTAGATTCCCAAGTAGCTACAATTAGAGGAGTGAGCCATGGGCACCTGGCATAAGTGTATTATTTATGCACAAAATTTGATGTCTTTTTATGTACTCTTTTGTTTTACATATAAATATGATGTGCCTGTATGTTTTTGGAAAGTTCGCATAAGTTTTGAATTCCTAAAAAACTTGGATTGTAAAGTGAAAATTCAGCTTTCCAATGAAGTCCTGTCTCATACATGCAGTGTCATAGGACACTTGGTGATCTCTGTCAAGGTCATTGGAGACCAAGGGGAATAATATGTGTTCTTTCTTTTGGTTGGTGCCAATACTGGGGCTTGAACTCAGGGCCTGGGTGCTGTCCCTTGGAATTTTGCTGAAGACTAATACTCTCCCACTTTAGCCATAGTTCCATTTCTGGCCTTTTGGTGGTTAACTAGGGATAATAGCATCACAGACTTTCCTGACTGTGTTGGCCTTGAATCTTGATGCTCAGGTCTCAGCCTTCTGAGTAGCTAGGATTTAGAGGGGTGTGGCATTGGCTTCCAGTATAAATGAATGATTTGTGCATGAAATATGTAGTCTTTTCGTGTACTCTATTGTCTTAGGAAAACATGTTATGTCTATATAATTGTGCAATGGTTGACATAGTCCTGAATTCCGAAATAAAGACCCCATAAAGTAAGAATTAATAGGAATTGAGCTGTTCATTTCACTTCTATCTTGTATAGCTAGTGTCATAGGGTACTTGACAATCTCTGTCAAGGTCACTGGGGACCAAGGAAAACTGTGTGAAGGCATTTTACATCTGCTGGAATTTTTTTTTGTTTTCTTTTTGTGCCAGTATTCAGGGCTTGGGCATTGCCCCTAAGGTTTTTTTTCCCCCCTCAATTCTAGCACTCTACCACTTGAGCTACAGCTCCACTTCTGGAGTTTTGGTGGTTGATTGGACATAAGAGTCTCATAGACTTTCCTACACAGGCTAGCTTTGAACTTCTGTCCTCAAATCTCAACCTCCTGGGTAGCTATGATTAGCTGGCTAATCATGATTAGCCAGCTGGTGGCTGGCTCTATATCTGCTCTTACTTTGCTTCTACAAGATTCTAAATCCTTGGTTTACTTGTTAATCTGAACTCGTTTTATTGTAAATGTATGTGCACACTCACTCTGCTTATCTTCTGTCAATGCCTAATCTATCTGAAATCCTGTATGCATTTTGCTTCTCTTTGCCATGGGTATGGAGACAGAACAGAATCCTCTCTGGGCTCAGCAGTCCTCAGGCCCCTGAGCCTACTCTTCTTCCCATAATCAGTTCTGGTCTCACTAAGATAACTTCAAGATTACCATATGCTTTGCAATAGAAGTAGAATCTATGAGTCAGAGCAGCTGGCATAGAACCAATCATAGGAAGGACTTTAACAAACCAGTCCTTCATGGTATCAGTTTTCTCCCTCATTTCTGTGACCAAGTTTTCTGACTTGGATCAAACATATTTCCACCTTTGACTAACCCAGATCTACAAACGAAAGAAGTCCCTTACCAGATGCCAAGAGGTCATTGATGAGCACGAGGAACCTCTCATCGGCCACTTGGGCATCAGTCATGAGAAACACGGTGCTGAGGTTCTTCACACCAGTTTTCATACACAGGCTGGCCAAATCTACCTGGAAGAAACATTGAAATCAGAAATCTCTGAGAAGAAGGACATTTTTGAGGGAGATTCCCCAATCTACTCCTTAGGAATGGACCTATTTTCCTATGTACTTTGGTGGAAATAAAGCATGACTATGCTGGGAGGTAGGGAGGAGTGGTATTTTGTACCAACAGACAGGAAAATGTGCGTCAATGCTGGACATCAATGTCAAAGGAGGTGAGCAAGGAGAACTACACAGTGAGGACCCTGGTTTCATAAGTCTTGTTGGCTCTTGCGCTAGCTCAGGATTCCCTTGTTCGTACAAAAAGGGAACAAAGGGTCTTCTCAAAGGACAAAGGTGATCTTTTCATTTGTATCTTCATGGAAGAAACTTCCTCTTGAGAACAAGTGACTCTTTGTCGTGACCAATGAGACAGAGATTTGGGGCTAGCTCTTTGAGGATGAATATATCTTATAACAGCATCTTGCATTGTTATGAGTAACTCCACCAAAGCTTTTGTTGGAAAAAAATTATTAGGGAACACACACACACACACACACACACACACACACACACACACACACACACACCCCTATAGTATATTTCCTATATAGTATATTTCCTATGAAAGCTGTAGTGCTAAGCTAGAATGTCAAGTCCTGAGTTTGTCAAGTGTCGTAAGTCTTGATCCTTTGCTACATCACCCCTCAGGTCCACACTGACCCCTACCCTGGTCTGTTTTCTACAGCATCACTCAGGGATCATTTCCTAACAGCCTCAAACAATCTTACTGCAGCGCTTCTGTAAAGTCCAAACACCCTCCTTGCTGTAAAGATAACTGCATTCCCTTTTAGATCAATGGGTCTTACCTTTATAGAATGATCTAAGATGGTGTCTCTCAGTTTTCATTAAAATCATCTGGGACATATTTTGACAAACACCTTATACCCAGGCTAATCCCCACATCTGTTAAATATTAACATCTCAGGGTAGGATGCAGGCATCAGTATTATTAGAAGATCCAGTACATAACCCAGGTGTTAGTATAAAACCACTGTCTTCTATCATTCTGTAAATGCATAATTTCTACCACACTGTTTAATTTTGTCTCTTTTGGAAGCATTAAAGAAAAACCTAACTAGAGTCTGATATGTGACCTTGGATATAGTCAGCTTTGAGAGGCTGAGCTATGGTTTCAGAGCAGAAGTGAGTATCTACCTTTCCCCTCGTTGGCTGGAATGGGTGTGTTTCTCCCAAGAACAGCAAGGGCAAGGCAGATGGAAATTACACCAAGGCTTCACATTGTGATTGGGTTGCAGCCTTGGATAAAAGGGAGAGCCTGGAAAAACAGTCCTTGAAGGTTGTACATATAATGTCTTTCTTTACTTCTTGCAACATGCATCATCAGTCCTATATGCTTGCCACTTAAAAACAGGAAATGTCAGTACAGGTCGCAGAGGCCAGTGGTTACTGAATCCATCTTCTAAACTATGAATCTCTTATATAACTTGGACAGACTGTTGAAATTCCTCTTATGGCTACTAGAAGAGTTAGCAAGCTGTGTGCTAAAACTGATGTAAGGGAACGTGTTGATGTTCCATCTCCAGTGACCTTGCCAAGGCCACTCTTCTGAGACTGATTCTAATGAGAGAAAAAAAGCCCTTCTTGTTACCAGTTCAGACACGAAGACCAAAATGGACAATTAAGAATAAGTTCTGGGCAAGGGGACTGTAGAACCACAGAAGAATGGCAGGGAGCTGTGGGTGACGACAGAGGCCAAGGCTTCTCCCCACGGCAGTGGATCTGTTTACCTTGAAGTCAGGGATCTGGTAACCTTTGCGCAGCGTGATCTGGAATACGTCCATGGAGCTGATGAAAGCCGCCAGCCTTGTGAGGCTCTGTTTGCCACTCCCACCTACGCCAACCAGCAGAGCATTGCCCCTGGGGGACTCCAGGATACGGTTGATGTGGCAGCTGAAGAGAAGGGAGTGGAAAGCGTATTATCTGGAGCACTGTCCACAGAAGAAATACATACAGTGACAATGGTCAGAGTGGGAGTGAGAGCCATCTTGGAGGCACATCATAGACTGAGCAATAAGAAACTTTAACGAGACTGTCCCCAAACCTGGCTTTACCTTTGCCCAAGCGCAGTGGAATTACCATTGCTTTATCTGTGATCCAGATGCCCTGGTGAACCAGCATGAGTGGAGAATTCCAAGGCAGGCAGGCAGGGCTGGAAGAGTCAGCCATGGAGATGGGGAGGGACCTCTATCTCACCTCTCCACTTCACTTTGTCTCACCAATTTTGCTTTTGAGCCAAAAAGGGGACAGGAAAAAGAGAAAAATAGGATGTATACTAATATAAAACAACAACAACCAACACCCAGGAAATCTAGAAGGCAAGGGCAGTCCTCTCTGGAAAGAAAAGTAACAAAATTATAGCCAGCTAAATGAAAGCGGAGTCCTAGGACAGCTGTTCTCGCTCGCTTTTAAAATTTCCTGGACATCATGACCCCAAGTCATGAAAAAGTGCAGATTCTTATTGTCAATGTTTGACACCCACAGATCCTGGGCATCCTAAGTTTTTTATTTCCCACCCTTCTTACTGCTCTTAGTATTCCTTTCCTACTCAGGCAATGGGGAACAAGCCAGGCCTCTTCCGGCTTAGATCATCCTCTCCCAGCAAAGTCGGTTTTCTTACTCCTGAATCTTGAGCCCTTCAATGGCTACCTTCATGAAGCTGTCCATAGACCTTCCTCTCCTTACCCTGCTACCTTTAAGCCACTTAGCAGTGTATCCTAGGTAAGATACTACATTATTTATATAAAAAGACTTCATTTAAAAAAATTACCTTAAAAACAATGGGTACATGTTGGGTAAAATGTATCTAAATACATAAAAACCTACCATGCTACTCTGTAACAATAAATACTATTGACATGGACTATATGGCCTTCTAGCTTTTTCTAATGTCTGTCTACATTTTTAATAAATATATTTATAGATTATGTATCTATCACACGTGATAAGCTAATATTTTTTTTTATCCTCTTGATTTTAGAAGCTGAGTTCACCTTATACACTGGGCATAGGGATTGTTTTGAAGCGCTCAAGATAGAACCTAGTTCCTCACAAATGCCAAGCACTCTCCCACTAAGCTTCACCTACAGTCTCTGAGCATGGAGTGTAAGAACCAGTTTCCTTTTTTGTTGGTTTTGGGGCTTGAACTCAGGGCCTGCACACTGTCCTTGAGCACTCTACCACTTTGAGCCACCAGCTCCGCTTCTGGTTTTCTAGTGGTTAATTGGAGATTAAAGAGTTTCATGGCCTTTCCGGCCCAGGCTGGTTTTGAACTGTGATCCTCAGATCTCAGCCTCCTGAGTAGCTAGGATTACAGGTGTGAGTCACTGGCTCCCAGTGGGAACCAGTTTTTAATTTAGTAATATACTATGATTATCTTCCTATGCCATTAAATAATCTCCTACACTATGTTTTAGTTAGGGGAACAATACTATATAGAATATCCATATTGTATCAACAATAAAAAAAATAAAACAAATTACTTGTCTTCGATACCCCACTGTTGGATGCTTAGATTGCTCCCAACATTTTCCAGTTACAAGTATGAGACATCATGCTTTCTCTTTCTATCTATTCCCTAGACATAAAATGGGTACATCAAACAATAAGACAGTTCTTACAGCTCCTGATATATACTGAAAATGCAACCCTCCTCTTGAATGATGCTACCAATTTCCATTCTTTTTAGGTAGAATCAATCAAGAGATGAATCTGTTGTATTAGAGGATGAGAACAAACACATTGGATTGTAGTCAATGAATTAAAATGTAAGTCAGTGAGTTCAGTTGTTGGTGACTCTGAAACAAAGAATTGTGTTGGAATAGGGTTGTTTGTGGCCTAATGGAACACAGAGTACATTTGAAAACCGAGTTACACAGTTTGTGCTGCTATATCCTTGTCTCATGGTATCAGCATTATAATTAGACTTTCTATTCAAATTAAGTAATAATGTAGCTACTCAAGGTCTAACTAACCTCACTTTGGAGGAAGGCCTGGGGAGTTACTTCAGCTGCTAGTGCTTGATACATTAGTGAAACATCAGTGTGTTTGTGTGTGTGTGTGTGTGTGTATGTGTGTGTGTGTGTGTGTGTGTTACAGAGCTTGTATTCAGCATTGGTGGAGTAGAGTTTCTTACTACTACAAATTTCTTATATATACAGATGATTTGGTCATAATTAGTATCGATAAGCTATTTGTGGACCCTCACGACCTTATCTATCCTGTGGGATTTGTGTTGCAAAGAAAATCCTGGCAAAAATGAGTAAGTGTGTGTATCTCTGTATTTGTGTGTGCATCTTTGTATTTGTGTGTGCATGATTTTTACTAGTTTAATGGCTAAAAATGTTACACTTTAATGTGTATTGATTTGATTTATTGAATATTTTTCAAATTGATTGATCATTATGTGTTCTTTATTTTGTGAGTTTTCTGTTCATGTCCTTGGCCTATTTTTGCACTTACGTGTGATACTAGAGTTGTAAAGCCCCTTTAGGTACTTTTTTCGGTTACTTTCCCATTTTTAAATTTCACCTTTTAGTTTTCTTTAAGGTGTTTTAGAAGGTCAGAATATTTTGGAATTTAAAATCTATCCCATTGAGTTCAATGCAGTTAAAATTAATCCACTCAAATATTCAGGAGCTATTTATTGACTTACATTTAGTTCTTTTATTACTTTACTTTTTCACTGTAATTACTTAATTGTGAAACATACACCCTGTCTTTATCAGCTAGATTTACTTCCTCTTGCTTTTATTAAACCATCATTTTCAGATGCCTGAAGATTGTGTCTACTTATTATATGTCCATTACAGTGCTAGCATATTGAATATATCCAACTCAATGTTATTAACTTGAAACTGAACACCACAGGCTTTATACAAAGCAGTACATTTGGGGAAATGTATATAAATATTCATTACATTGTGTACAAGAGATTATTTGCTTTGTGTCTGCATTGGTGCCTGATGAAGGGAGAAACTATTACATTCAGGGGCTCTTCTCTAGTTCAGGAAAGATGGGGCAAGAATGGATTCGTGGAGGAGGAAGACAAGCTTGGAGGAAGGAAGAGTTGGAGTCCAGCTGGGTTCTCTGGATTGCCTAACACCCAACTTTATTCTGAAAGGTCTAAACTTGGTTTAGCAAGGCCTGTGTTATTCAGTATCTAAATGGGAAATGCATCATTAGTGATGAAGATTCTAAAGAAGAATGGTTAAGTCTGCAGCCGTCAGCATTAGACTCCAGCTGGGGCTTCATTAAGAACCTCTGACAAGGGCAAAGGACTCTGCATTTAAATTACAAAATTTAAAAAGAAGATCAATATTCTAAAGGGCTCCTGAGCCAAAAATCCAAAGCAGTGTATGTTCAACCCATTACTGAATTTCTAGATGAAAAACAAAAGCTAAAGAGGAATCAGAGCACAGCTGGAGCAAGATGGGTTATTGAAGACTCAACACACACACACACCCCCACCCCCCCACACACCCTCTGGAGGGCTAATAAGATATTTGAGCCCCAAAAGAAATACATCTGAAGTTTTTTCTGCCTAGTGCCTCCTAAGTAATCCAAGAGAGGGGGAAAATGTACACATATACACAAAAATGAGATGGTACAAGACAAAGAGGCAAAGAAAGATGAATAGATATTATACCAAAAGTGAATTAAAAGATATCATTTAAGGCTTGAAGAGAGAACAGAACAAGAACCTTCTGAAATGGCACAGGAAGCCAGTGGGAGAAAGGAAAAAAAAGCAACAGCACCAAGAAAAAGACCATAGCAATGCTCAGTTAAAGTGTTTCACATCAACAGCACCTACCACGACATGGTCATTCCCATTTTCCTCATCCTCCACACAAGGAAACTGAGTCACCCAACCCAGTTTTGGGCAGATCCAGTAGGACTGATTGAAGCTTGGGTCTAACCCTCTCTCTAGAACCCATGCCCCTAACCATTATACTATTTCTGAGTTGAGCATCAACGTAAAAGAAAGGAAGAAAGCAAAGCTGGGAGAAGACAAAGAGAGGAATCAAGCTTAAGAAAATGTTAAGCATATGTGTAGTGTGAATAAAATGGCAAGTTGAAGTCCCAATGGACAGATACCTTACTGTACCATAAAAAAAACTCTTGCCTTGCCCCCTCCACACTGCATCTGAGGATTTCTGGGAAGATACACACTGACTCCTTCCTTCTCACCCTGTCCATTCCTACCTTGGGTCCTTAGAAGGTGGGATCTTCCTGGACAGAGTCCCAAACCCTCTACCCTGGGTACTGTATGCTACTAGGGCCTCTCATGGAAGCTCTGAACACCCCTAGATTATCTACTTCTTACTGCATCATTTGCCTTCCTCTGTATGACCAACCACATATTCCTGCTCTATGTGACTATTAGAGGCAGCAAAGAGGCACCAGGGAGCCTCCAGGGAGGGGAGGGAAGGCAGTACCTGGATAGAGTAATGGGATATCGATATTTACAAACAGATGTACAGAAAACTACACATCCACATGCAGTTATTCTCCAGTATCACCTGTTCAAGGTCGTTTCCAGTTATTTTTGCTGTTGTAAAAAGCAGCAGCCTAGGCCTCTCTTTGGAAACTGTCTGCACAGCCTGTTTATGAGCCTCAAGAGAAAAGCCAGTTCTCACAGCCCAGCCTTATTTTTTCCTTAAAAACAATATTAGTCAGTTTGATCGCCCGTGCTGGAAACCACATCAGCTCAATCACTAGCTATTCATTCAAATTAAATTCACCCCAAAAGGACAGATATACCTAAATTCCAAGATGAATGCAGAGGCACTGATAGCTCTGGTAGAGGAAGGGAAGTATGCACTAAAGCTTCACAAGGTTAGTCAATAGACTTTTTTGGGGGAGTCGGTCATGGGACCTGAACTCTGGGCCTGGGCACTGTCCCTCAGCTTTTCAGTTCAAGGCTATTACTCTACCACTCGAGCCCCAGCACCACATCCGGCTTTTTTTTTTTTTTTTCCTTATATGGTGCTGAGGAATCAAACCCAGGGCCTCATGCATGAAAAGCAAGCACTCTACCACTGAGCCACCTTCCCAGCCCCTCACAAGAGTTTTATTTTATTATTATTATTTTTTAACCTTCATTTACTAGATACATACTGTGCACTAGCACTGTCCAAGGTCCTGATGTTTCTGCAATGAGAAATGCAGTCTTTGCATTGGAAGAGTTTATACTAGATTAGCAGGAGACAGTATATGGAGAAGCATCATGTGTGATGGCCAAGGGCACAGATTCTGGAAGGCCATAGGAGCATAAGTCTTGGATTGCCAGAGACATGTCCTTATGCAACTTTTTTCTTAGAGGCACTTGTATTTTTGTTTTTGTTACAATGGGTCTACCTGTATCCTTGTTTCAGCATTTTATTTCCCTTCCCCTCCCCAAATTAGAAATATATATATATATATGATACAGGACACTGGAATCAAAAAAGTGAAAACAGGGGCTATACTGCAGGGGAAGAACATTCAAAGAAACAAAAAATATCACATAGTACATTACAAATATGTTAAAAAACAATTGCAAGAAATAAAAAAACCTGCCTATATCCCTATCTTGGGATTCATTTCACTTAACATCATCTTATATGGTCATATGTACATAGCTTTTGACCTTTTCTGCTTGAACTACACTTATACTAATTACTGCAATTAAGGGAAACCATGGGACCTATGTTTCTTTGGGCCTGGCTTACTTCATTTAGTATAATTTTTTCCAAGTCTTTCCATTTCTTAACAAATGGGGCAATGCCATTCTTTCTGATGGAGGCATAGAATTCAACTGTATATATCTATACCACATTTTCTTGATGCATTCATTCACTGAGGGGCATTTAGGTTGATTCCATATCTTAGCTATGTAAATAGTGCTGTGATAAACATAGTTGTGTTGGTAGCTTTAGAATAGACTTGTGATCATTTGGGTAAATGCCTAAAAGTGGTTCTAGGGGAGCTCTATGTGGAGTCTTTTGAGGAACCTCCATACTGATTTCCAAAGTGGCTGAACAAGTTTACACTCCCACCAACAATGCAGTAGGGTTCCCTTTTGGCCACATCCCTTCCAGCATCTGTTGGTATTAGAGTTCTTGATTATAGCCATTGTAACTGGGGTGAGGTGGAATCTCAATGTTGTCTTGATTTGCATTTCTTTTATGGCTAGGGAAGTTGAGCATTTCTTCATGTGTCTATCAACCATTCTTATTTCCTCTTCAGAGATGTCTCTTTAAGTCTTTAGCCCACTTATTAATCCAGCAGTTTTTGCTTTGAGGATTTGTTGTTGGGGAATTTAAGTTTTTCAGTTCTAAGTATATTTTAGATATGAGACCCTTGTCTGTTTTATGGCTAGTGAAACTCTTCTCCCAATCCATGGGCTTTCTATTGATCTTGCTAGCTATGTCCTTTGCCATGCAGAAGCTGGTCAGTTTCATCCAATCCCATTTTTCCAAGCTTTCTTTGATTTGTTGTGTTTCTGGGTCTCTATTAAGAAAATTTCAGCCTGTGCCAAGGAGCCCTATAGTTTCTTCTATTCCTTCCTGTAATGTTTTAAGGGTATTTGCTTTGACTTCGAGGTCTTTGATCCATTTGGAGTTGATTCTGGTGCAGGGTGATATATAAAGATCTAGCTTTAATTTTTTTTTACAGGTGTTTAACCAATTTTCCCAGCACCATTTACTGAAGAGGCTGTCTTTCTTCCATTCTATTATTTACTCCCTCACAGAACATTAGGTGGCTATAGGTCCGTGGGTTCATTTCTGGGTCTTCAGTTCTATCCCATTTGTAACTTGTATCCCTAAGCTGATCTGGTGAAAAGGGCCAACTCCTGGCTTAGGCCCAGAAGTTAAGTGAAGGCAGGATGAAATCTAGGCATCCCAGCCTCCATTTTGTGTCTGTGTCTTTGTTCTTGGCTATCTGCCTTGCAATAAGCTTGGAATTCAGGATCCACAGGACTGCTAGACATTCTAAGACAGGAGACAGAGCTAATACCTTGCCAGGCAGCAAGGGGCTCTTACTATAACAAGGCTGCTGATCCTGAGACAATGAGCTACTAGACCACACATGGCTGCCATCTATGACATCAAGAGCACACCATTGCCTGGGACTGCTTAATAATTATAATACCTGTACCCCTACCTCCAACTCTTCCTCCTCCATTTAAACTAAGACCAAATATAAGATGAGTTAAATTGTTACCTTGCCTCTTCTGGTGACATGCCTGTTTCATGTTAATTAAATCTGTTTTCTCTGATCTCGACCATTACTTGCCTCTTCATTTGGTCTGATGGAGCAAGTGGCCTGGGGCCTAGAATTCTTGTAACATTAGTTTATGATGCATATATAGTATTTTTTTTAACCTTCTTTAGGATTTTCTTTTTGTGAGAATGAAGCAAATTGATACACAGAAAGCACTGTACTAGGACAATAGTGAGTGCTGTGCTAAGTGCATCTCTTTCATGTCAAATCCAATGCTACTCACTCAGTGGGCCTCCTGATTGCCCAAGATAAAGTTGGAAACCCCCTCTTCACCCAGCCACATTCCTTCTGTTCTTATCTGTATTATCATTTTAACATATCTTACTGTAAAGGTGATGTAGAGAGGTGTTTCAGTTACATAAATCAGAAAATGAGTACATTTCTTCTTAAACTATGTTACTCCTTCCCTCATTCTTTCCCTGTTTTTCCCTCCTGTCTCCACCCACAAGTTGTATAGCTCATTTTTTTTGTTGGTTGTGGAGCTTGAAATCTGCCTGGGCGTTGTCCCTGAGCTCTTCAGCTCAAGGCAAGCACTCTACCACTTGAGCCACAGCAGCATTTTCAGTTTTCTGGTGGTTAATGTTCTTAAAGACTTTCTTGCCTAGCTGGCTTTGAACTACGACCCTCAGATCTCGCTCAGCCTCCTAAGTAGCTAGGATTACAGATGTGAGCCACCAGAGCTTGGCAGGATAGCTCATTTTTTTTTAGTTCGTTTATACATACTGTCTAGAATTGTTTTATTGTAAAGGTGATGTGTAGAGGGGCTAGAGTTACATCAGTCAGGTATTAGTGCATTTCTTTTTGAAGAGTGTCAACTCTTCCCTGATTTCTCCAAGTTTTTTTCTTCCCAACCTCCCTCTTCCACAAGTTTCACAGTTCATTCTCAACATAGTGTCTAGTGAGTACCACTGCTACATTTGTTCACCCTTTATCCCACACTTTTTTGTGCCCCCTGCTTACCTTCCAGGGGCAAATAAACTAACAAACAAGACAAAAGGAAAGACAACAAAAACAGCAACAATAAAAACACTCTTGTTGCCATTTCTTGGAGTTCATTTAAAAAATTATTATTTTATGTGCTCATATGCACATAGATATTGAGCTTTTGTGATCCTCTCCTCAGAACATCCTCTGGTCTCACTGTATGAATGTCTAGAGACCTGTATAATTTTGTTACGTCCCAGTGTTTTTTTTTACCAACCAGTGTGTTTACTTGTAGATTTGTAGGCACATTTGTTACCACAAATGAGGGAAAACAAGCAACCTATTTTTCTCTGTGTCTGGCTTACTTCACGTAATAATAATTTTTTTCAAACCTTTCCATTTCTGTATGAATAATATCATTCTTCCTGATGGAAGACTATAATTCCATTGTGTATATATATCACATTTTCTTTTTGCAATAATAAGTGCTGTTGGGGGATGTGTGCAAAATGGAACTCTACTACGCTGTTGGTGGGGATATAAACTAGAAAGCAGTATGGAGGATCTTCAAAGGACTAAACAGAGAGCTTCCCTGTGACCTAGCAATTTCAGCTCTGAGTGTTTATCTCTGATAGAACACATACTATGCCACATTAAAGCTACTAGCACAACCATGTTCATTGCAGCATTGTTTACTATAGCCAAGATATGTAATCAACCCAGATGCCCCTCAGTGGATGAATGTATCAAGAAAATGTGCTATATATTGCTATATATATATATATATACACACACACACAATTTTCAATTTAGCTTTTTTTTTTTTTTACAGTGTTCAAGTATACCAAATGGCAGCCATGGAAACAAGTCTATGCACTCTGTCACCTCCCTTGGGCTGGTGGCAGAACTTGCAATCGTGCTCTGCCTGCAGCCAACTTGGTCTTCAAAGAAACAGTAGTGCTTTACTGATTTTATGAAAGTGCCCTGCAATAGCCAAGAGAAGCAACTGAGGAAAGTCAGTAAGAGGAATACACTTACATATGGCGTATGGCATCCTCAAAAAGAACCAGGTCCATCACAGTGTTCACTTCATTGTGGTTCTCCAGGGCATCTACCAGAGTCTGGGTCAAAAGTTCCCATGACTGTACAGGCATATACTTGGGCTCTCCAATGCCATTTGCAAAGTGGCAATATATATTTAGCTTTTGGATCTGCTCCACAATCTCCTCAGCATCCTGGTGATGAGACAGAGAAATGAGGACCTTCCTCACTGACTGACAGTCCTGGTTCCACCTAGAGTGGAAATGCACAGGCATTGTGGGTAAGATATAAATGTAATGCAGGAGAGCTCCTTTTGCTAACTTATGAAAGCTTACACAGTAACGTGGCAATTCATCACTCAGTTTAGGAATCGGAATCATTCCTGGTGAACATCAATGTGCGCTAAGAATATGGCAGAGGACAAATGAAAGTACAGTATTGAAAAGCTTTGTCTACAAAGATTATTTGACGAACAAAACAAGTCTTTAATTTAAAGCTCAGAGCTATCATAGGCAGAGGGGAAAGAGAAAACCAACACACAGCCAACACTGTGAGTCGAACACTCCTCAACAGTGATGCTCTATCATGCTGGGCTATAAATCAAGGAACTCAAAGCTTAATGGTAGAAATAGAAGCACAAAATTTCTTGGATGGGACTCCAGCAACTTCTCCTTAATGCCAATACCAGAATTTGGCACAGGCAAGAAGCTTCAGGCTGCCATTGCAAATATTGTTGGGGAAGGATAGCAGGGGTATCAATTATACCTGTGTTTATGAGCAGAAGGAAGGAGCTCTACTTAAAAATCTGTATTATTTGGGTTGGGAAGGTGGCTCAGTGGTAGAGTGCTTGCCTTGCATGCATGAGGCCCTGGGTTTGATTCCCCAGCACCACATAAACAGAAAAAGCTGGAAGTGGCGCTGTGGCTCAAGTGGTAGAGTGCTAGCCTTGAGCTGAAGAGTTCATGCATAGTGCCCAGGTGCAGAGTTCAGGCCCCATGACCGACAAAAAAAATCTGTATTATTTTAAAGTGCTATCTCTGATTAACTCTGAAGACAATTAAGGTTGTTTGCTAGGCTATGAATACATAAATTGACTAACTCTGCCATTCTTAGAGAAGAGGGATTTAAAATCTGATTTTCAGAAATGAACATCAGATTCTGTAACAGTAATGAGAAAAATACAAAAATTGAGGATGTTTTACCCAGTAAAAAGTAGACCACAGTAAATCATTTAAAATTTGAGTGAACCATTTGAAAAACGGCCTTATAGGTTAAAATGGACTGTGCATATTTTCAGAGCTAGATCTAAGAGCTCACAAGGTTAAAAAAAAAAATTATGGGACAGGCACTGTGGATCATTCTTGTAATCCTAGTTATTCAGGGGGCTGAGATCTGAGGGTGGTAATTTGAAGCCAGCCTAGACAGGAAAGTCTGTGAGACTCTAGTTTTCAAATTAACTACCAAAAAAGGGAAGTGGAGCTGTGGCTCAAGTGATAGAGAGCTAGCCTTGAGCAAAAAAACTCAGGGACAGAGTGTAGGCCCTGAGTTCAAGGCCAATGAATGGCGCACACACACACACACACACACACACACACACACACACACACACACACACAAAATATGGAGCTAAGGCACACACACACACACAAAGTATGGAGCTAGGGCACACACACACACACACATACACACACACACACACACACACACACACACACACACACACACACACACAAAGTATGGAGCTAAAGCGACTGTTATTTGTTTGTGGTTTGTTCCCCCAAAGATTGATGTGCTGGACGTGTGGTCCTAGTGTAGCCATTTGAGAGGTGAGGCTAGTCATGGTAAAAGGTGAGTTGGTCATTGTAGAACTGCTTTCTGAAGGGATTGATTCTGCTCTTGGACAATGAGTTATCCATTCTTGCAAGAGTGGTGTTTTATTAGAATGAGCCTGATCCCCTAAATCTTTCTCACTTTCTGTCTATGTGGATTTTTCTAGATGCATTCCAGCACTTGTGGTTCCACTTACCACAAGACCCTCACCAGAAGCTGGATTGATGGAGCCAAGCTCTTCTTTGACTTTCTTCTTCTAAGGCTGTCATCTAAATAAATCTCTTTTTCTTTACTTATAAACCAGCTTCAGGTATTTGATAACAGCAATGGAAAACAGATCAATGCAGTAAGTTAGGGACGATGTAGTATAATTACGTGCAAGGTTGATTCTTTCTAACTTAAAGCGAGGACATGAATAGTATGTATGAAAAATATGGGGGTCAAGAGAAAGGTCATTGGTGGTGGTGGGGTAATTTTGATGCTAAGAAACAGAATGTAACCTCTGATTGTTTTAATGCATCAATGTCTGTTCTGTTAATATATCGGTGCCTACTCATTCTGTAAGTTATTAGTAGTTTTTTCAGGGTCCAATATATTTGGAGAATGGTGTGTGAATTGAGGTTATCCTAAGATTAATGTACTCCATTCACTTGGACTTTCTAAGAGAGCAATATAATAGCAATCTAATAGGAAGCATATTCTCCACACATTTCATCCCACTCATCATCTTTCCAACTGTCTAGCAAGACACAAACACAATAACAAAATGATGTATAAGAAAAAGGGGGAAAAAGTAAAGCGAATGTTGGGAATAATGATGATCTTGCTTTTGGTCAGTTTCTGGCTGGGCTATATGATGAAAGTCAGGCACCATGTATTCAGAGGGAAGAACTGATAGGACAATCATGATTAGGGAACAGGGAAACAAATTCTAAATTATTATTCAAATAAATCTCTAGTCTTCAAATTGTTTCAGCTAGGGGCTGGTGGCTTATGCCTGTGATCCTAGTTATTCGGGAGGCTGAGATCTGAGGATTGCAATTCAAAACCATCCAGGCAGGAAAGTCCATGAGATTCTTATCTCCAATTAAGCACCAAAAAGCCAGAAGTGGAGCTGTGACTCAATTGGGAGAGTGCTACCTTTGAGCAAAAATGCTAAGGACAGTATAAGCACAGACACACAGACACAGACACAGACACAGACGCAAACAGACACAGACACACAGACACAAACACACAGACACACAGACACAGACACAGACACAGACACACACACACACACACAGACACAGACACACACACACACACAAAGCAAAAATCCCAAACAGTTTCAAATATTTTACATTTCAGAATCATTCCAAATTGTGTTATTAAAAGTTCAAAATGGTGAACCCGGGAAGGATAAGACTATATATCCTTAGGGATGCTGGGATGTCATCTGGGAAGATGGAACTGGGGGATAGCTGAGGAGGCCCAGTATCCTCTGGGTCCTTAGGATTGATGGTTTCTGTGAGCATTCTCAGCACTGAGACCTATGATTAGTTTGTGTTCACTTTTGCCCTTCTTTCTTTTGCTTGGGCAAAGTAATGATAGAATCTTTTCCTTAGGCAGGTATCTGCCATTTTCCCAACAAATGGACTATCTGGAATTAGTGATCACCTGCATAATCATTATTTTTCAGATGTTAAAAAAGAGGGGGGCAACACTTACATCAAAAAATTTCTTGAGTACTTCTGTCTGGATTTTGTCGAAAAGATCAAAGTCCTTTTCCTCCACCATTTTATCCCGGTAAACCCGATTTGATTCATGCAGGTAGAGCTTTACAAGGTCTTGTGTGGATCTTACACATTCCACTGAGGAGAAAAGAATGCCCTTCAAGGAGAACAGTTGAAAAAAAATTCAGTAACAATTCAGTAAAACAAGCAATGAAAGAATTTTCCAGAAGTGTTTTCTCCAACTTGGCATGATGTCTGAGCATTATCTCATGGAGGCATTTGTCACAGTAGAAAGGACTCTTGGGATGTTGAGAAAGAACCAAGTTGAAGGCAGACAGATCTAACCTCAAAGACTGTCACGACAGTGTAGGAACTTTGTGTAACTTTGGGCGAAGTGATGTGCAATCTGAGACTTTCCCAACAGAAATAACAATATTGACTTTCTAGTATTATTGAAATAGTTCAATCTCTCCACCTAAGGAAGCTAGTGTTGCTCCTCTCACATACTCAATAAATGAAAATTATTGTTTTGCCTGTATTATTGAAACAAAGCTACAATAATTATAATTTGTTGAAACCTGTGTGTTTCGGAAGATTTTTTTGCAAGCCACATGTGATTCAATCTATGGTGATCTTCAGGAAATAAATTTACTTCATCTATTTTGTATCATGGAGAGATACAAAAAGATTAGAGATGTGCTCAATGTCACAGAGTCAGCCTTACAATGCCTGTAATTGTAACTACTAGTGTTCCTATCAGAAGATGAGATGAATGGTGGCTTTTCTGCTATATTTCAATTCCCCAGGTGCCATTTTGAAAACTGATTTAATGCTGGACCATGTACAATCAGAACTCTAACATAGGTTGGAATGGATATAACTACCATCTGCAAGTAAGGAAATACTGTAATTTACTCATCCATTCTCTTTACATAGGAATAATTCTAAATATTTCCTATTCTTTTCAAATTTCTGTCCTCTCTCTGTGTTACCATTAGTCATTGTGCCAGCCTCTTTTCAATGAAGAAATGGTGGCCACTAATATTAGCCCCCATCATGTCCTCTAGCTCCCAACTCATTTCGGTGACCACTGTCATTGCTTTCTTTTTGGTCCTGCAGGAAACGGGCTCATTTATTTTCCCTGGTATTTGTAGAGTAATGCTAGGGTCTGTCTGCAAGACACACATGTCAGATCTATTTCCTCATGCTCTTGCTCACCATCATTTCCCAGGAAACTTAGACTCTACTTCCTAAAACGTCAAATTAGTTTGAGATCCTGCATTCTGCGCCTCCGTTCCTTCTTGATGTGTTTGGTAGGCTCCTCTTGCTGGTTCAATTGATACTTCTTTGTTGAAGTTTCCTGAGACGATTCCTTTCATCTTGAACAGCAATACTGGGAATGTGTCCCCACATTGCTCTTACACAATAGCCATCTCTAGTACAGAAGAATGACTAATCTCTCAAATGGTTGTTCCTTACTCAATTTTTTTTTTCAGTTCATAGCAACTGTTGCAAAGGTAGGGAAGCTGACTGGGGCTGATTTTTTTTTTGTCAGTTATGGGGCCTGAACTCTGGGTCTGGGCACTGTCCCTCAGCTCTTCAACTCAAGGTTAGTGCTCTAACACTTTTGAGCCACAGCGCCTTTTTCTGCTTATGTGGTGCTGAGGAATCGAACCCAGGGCCTCATGCATGCAAGGCAAGCACTCTACCATTGAACCACCTTCCCAGCCCTGTGGCTGATTTTTAAAAAATCATTCTTACTACTAGTATCTAGCAGAGTATAGCTAACATACATAGTAGATTGTCAATGAATTATTGTGGAAAGAATGAAAGGACTAAGATTACATTCTTCAAGCACTGTAATAATATAGCATTGCAAGGATTTTCCTCCAGATTTCAGCTTTTGGTTATAGAAGACTGGCTGGTCAGCAACTGGGCTACTGAGATCAACTAGAAAAGGTAGAATGATTATTACTATTATTATTTGTTTTTGTTCTGTTCCAGGGATTTGAAATTAGGGCCTCCTCACTGTCCCTGAGAGCCACAGCTCTACTTCCAGCTTTTTGGTGTTTATTTGGAGATAAGAGTCTCATAGATTTTCCTGCCCAGGATAGCTATGAATTGCAGTCCTCAGATCTCAGCCTACTGAGTAACTAAGATTACAGTTGTGAGCCGCTAGCACCTGGCAGGATCATTGATTTTAAAGCTTCATGTTTTCAGTTATTACAGAATGAGCAAGATACTAGACTTGAGATAATAGTATACAATTGAGAAAAGGAGAGATAAATAAAAATATGGTGCCTCTTGTTCTCTTGACACGATGGGCTTACAAGCAATGGCTTATGAGTTCAGAAATGAAGAAGACAGCTAAGTGAGGGGTTGGGATGCTGTCCACTGTTTTCTTCTCTTCTAGGGTAGAGAGGGGGAAAGCTGGAGTACAAAGATTACCAAGTAGAGTGACAGGTGGGTAGGACAGATTGAGTCTGTGGATGGCAGAGTCCTGAAACCACAAGGTGCAACCTTCCCTGACCTAAGCCGTTAGACCACAGATGTGTCAGTCATAAGCTCCCTGAGGAATAAAGAGCTGTGTTTTGTATTTAGCACATTTGTGCCTTAACGTTACTTTAAAAGGGTGCTGGGCTTCATGTAAATTAGTGCATGCATATAAGCAAAAATGATACCCAATCATAATCTTTGCCTCATTAATCATAAACTTTACACTCTGCGATGGAGACTTAATATGATCATGAGACATGTGATATAGGAAACCTGGTGAGCAACCCCTGCATTCATGTGGTCTATGACATAACATCAGGGAAGCCAGCCTGAAAAGACATGTAACCTAGCCCACCCAACCCCATAGGCGAATTCTGCCTTTGGGGGTTGTCTGCTGCAACTCTCTCCTGACATTTAATTGACTGGTTTGTCTAGGTGACAGGAGAAAAGCTATAACTTCCTCTGAAGGGAAGGCCCCTTCAAAGCATTGTACTCTAGGATTCTGGGCCAAGCACAAACTATCCTATTGAGTCCTTACAGAAACTGGAGCTTCAGCTCCATTCACAGCCTTGGTAGCTGCTTGGCATAAACAAAAGTGTGTGATCTCTGAAGAGAAACATTATCCAAGCCCTCAAGTTATCTGCATATTTTAAAGCTCTGTCTAGCTCTCAAACACAAATTGCTAGGAATACTAGGCAATAAGACAAAGTAACTAAATCTCTGAACAAACAGACAACAAACAGAATGAATAGACATAGACTTTCATAAAAATCATAATTAAGAATGGCAACAATGCCAGGTGCTGGTGGCTCACACCTGTAATCCTAGCTACTCAGGAAGCTGAGGTCAAGGATATGGTTTGAAACCAGCCCCAGCAGTAAAGGTCATAAGGCTCATTTCCAAATATCCACCAGAAAACAGGAAGTGGCTCTGTGGCTCAAAGTGGTAGAGTGTTAGCCTTGAGTGAAAGAGCTCAGGGATAGCAACCAGACAATAAAGTAGTACATTGAATAAATAAGATATTAGTCTTAATGATATTCTAATTGTAACTATATTCTAGATACAATAGTAAAGGATAGTATTTGTAGGTTTATATGCATATGATGCACAATGTGTGTGGGGGGGGGAGGGGTTGAACTAGGTTTAAACTAGATCCTAAACTCTCATTCCCAGTAGGAGATCTGCCACTTGAGCCATGCTTTTAGCTTCAAAATACAAAAATGAGTATAACAGAAATAAAAGTACAAATAGACATGCCCATAAACACAGTAGCATATTTTCAATCTACCTTTCTAAAAATAGAGAGACAGTCAGAAAATCCAGTAGTTAGATGAATACAATCGAGGTAGATTGTTTGCAAAAATAAAATAGAATAAATAAAATGAAATAAAAATAGAACTAGGAAAATGATTGGAGTTGTTTTTGGAAGGAGAGAAGAGAGTTATAAAGGGAGTGAGATTGGTTGGAATAGATTATAAACATGAATGAAAGGTAGCAATGAAATCTCTTTCCCATATACCTAATATAAATTGGTAAACCTTAGGAATTACACATAAAATTTCAGTAAGAGAATGTTCAAACTTGTTCTAATTGGCATATTGACAAAACTTTATCCAACATCTACAGAACACGTTTTTTAAAGAGCACATTGATCATGTTTTGGGAAATAGAGCAAATCCCAACAACTTTTGAAGGAACAAAATCATTTCTTTTACTACAGTTAACTAATTTAAATTGTAACTCAAAATTACATTCAGTTTGTAAAGAGAGGGCAAGAGTGAAAGTAAGCTAGCCATCAATGAGAAAGATAACTAGAAATCCCCTAAATGTTTGAAAATAAATCAGTATAGTTTTAAGTATGCTATAAGTCAGAAAAATATATACAGTGGAAATTAAGAAATATTTTGAACTAGATATCATAAAACACCAAAGGTTTATATGATGCAGTTGCTAGTTTAACCAGAGACAATCTTTTGGGGGGGTATCTTGGTGCAGAAGAACTCACCTGGAAGATGTTGGCAAAGTCTCTGAGGTTGAAGATGTAGTGGAATTTGGTGGCTGTGGGCAGGAATGTGGTAGCGATTCTCTGGTGGAAGGTGAGGGCCAGATTGATCAGTTGGGGGATGGATTTCTGCAAGGAGGCTGGGAAGTTTCCAAGCTTCAAATGCTGTGTCAGGATGGTGCTGTAGATGGAGGAGAGGGCATCGGCTCCCGGGAAGGAGAGGAGAAACACACTGAAGTGACGCTGTGTGAGAAAACGGAGGTGTGAAGTGTGTGTGTGGGTGTGTGTGTGTGTATGTGTGTGTATGTGTGTATAACGGAGAGACAGAGACACAGAGAGAATGAATATCACCTCTTCCAACTTTAGATACAAGAACGAAGAATTCTCCCAAGAGTTTTTGGTCCCATTTTTCATGCTCACACACACTAACGTGATTGAGGAAAGGAATGACATTGGATCTTTGTTTACAGGTGGCTGTGTGAGGTAGGGTAGTAGGCAGGAAATCTAAGCCCAAATCTGAACTTGATATTGAGTCTCCATACACCCTGAGAATCAGTTCACCCCACTGAAGTCTCATCTGAAGAAAGACAGAATTGAATCTGATGAATTTTATGACCTCTACTAGCTCCACAAAACCTGTTGACAATGGATCTAGGAGCTTCTTTTTCTCCTGGAATGGCAGATTGGCATTCTGTCTGGTTTACCATTTTGATAGGTGGACAGGGAAAGGCAAATTATCACTCACAATCAAGTAATATGTGCTCTGATAAGCTGTACCTGAAGCCGTGGGTTGATGGTGAAGCTGCCCGCAGTGGGGTTCATACAGGAGATGTACTGTACATTCATGATCTCTTTCAGGGACAGCTTGTTCCGATCATACCTGGAATAGTGAGAAATCTCTAGTGAGCTGGACATGGTGGTACATATCTTTAATATAGCACTTTAATCAGGAGGCTGAGGCAGGAGTAACTTGTGTTCTAGACCAGCCTGTACTGTAAACAAGACTTTGTTTAAAAAGAGAAGTGAAGAGGGGCAGAAGGTGGATCAGTGGTAGAGTGCTTGCCTTGCATGCATGAGGCCCTGGGTTCAATTTCTCTGCACCACATAAGCAGAAAAAGCTGGAAGTGGCGCTGTGGCTCAAGGAGTAGAGCGCTAGACTTGAGTTGAAGAGCTGAGGGGCAGTGCCCAGGCCTAGAGTTCAGGCTCCATGACTGAGAAGAGAGAGAGAGGCAGAGAGAGAGGTGGAGAGAGAGGTGGAGAGAGAGAGAGAGAGAGAGAGAGAGAGAGAGAGAGAGAGAGAGAGAGAGAGAGAGAGAGAGAGAGAGGAAGAAAGAAGAGGAGAGGAAAAGAAAAGAGAAATAAAGACAAAGCAATTTTCCATGAGAGTTGTGTAAGGACCCAGGCAGGTGAGGGCCTCTTCAGGGTCAGATAGGATGGACAAGCAAGTGATACAGATGTGGAAGCATGGGTGGAGTCGGTCCTGGGGTTCTCTAAGAAGACAAATCCATCAGCAGCTGGGTAGGGCTGAAAGTTTGAGGAGAAAGGAGAAGGTATAAAACGAACATTTCTCAGGCCACATGTACACAGAGAAAGCAATATGGCAAAATTTCCAGGAGGTTTTTGCTTCTTGCTTGAAGATTTGTGACCAGGAATTTAAAGTAAAACTAGTAGGAAAGAAGTGATATCCATCAAAATACATCATATTCAGAAACCAACATATTGAATTGAAATCCCCTCTGTATGACTACTGAAGGATAATAAAAATGACAAAATCAACTAGAACTAGTGAGTTTGAGGATGGTTTTCAGTATAGTTCAGAGGCTTAAACACTGTTGTAAAGATCAAAGATGGTTGTGTAATATAAGGCAGGCATAGCTAGGAGACTTTAGGAAGGAATATGAGAGGCAACTCAGGTTAGCACCTTAACTATCATTCTTCCTCAAACCAATAACTTATACTTTTCTGGTGAAAAAAAAACTAAAAACTATACAACGAACAAAGATTACCCAACCTCATGTGTTTCTCTGAAGAGGCTGAGGCTGCACAGGTCTGCAGACAATGTCCTTGGTGTATCATGTGAGCTCAGAAAACACACTTGGGAGGAGGGATTAATTCTGCTTTGAGGATGGGGATATCTCCAGGAAAATACAACTTTTGAGATGTCTTTAAACAACAATAAAAACACCCTCATCCCATGCTTTATGTTTCAACTTTTTTTGTGTGGTGGTGGTCCCTGAACTTTTATGTTCAAGGCTGGTGCTCTACCACTTAAGCCACAGCTCTGCTTCCGGATTTTTTGGTAGTTAATTGGAGATCAAAGTCTCATGGACTTTCCTGCCTGGGCTGGCTTTGAACTGTGATTCTCAGATATTTAAACTTTGTGTGTGTGTGTGTGTGTGTGCTGATCCTGGGGCCTGAACACTGTCTTTGAGTTTCTTTGCTCCTGACTAGGTCTCTACAGGTCTCTATCACTTGAGCCACTGGATTCTTTGGAAGTTAATTGGAGATAAGTGTCTCATAAAGTTTCTTGCCTGGTTTGATGTTCAACCATGATCCTCAGATCTCAACCTCCTGAGTATCTAGGATTATAGGTGCCCAGCTTCAGCTATTTAAACATTCATGTCCCGAAGTTCTCTTTTCTATCCTTCATCCTCCTCTTCCAATACTCTCTCTCTCCCTCCCTCCCTCCTTCCCCCTCTCTTCTCAGGCTCTAGAGGTAGATTTCTTTTCTTGGATGATAGCTCAGTACCAATGCTGGGCTAACTGTCTGCATATGTCTTAGAATCTGGGCCTAAGCAAGCACTCCAGGAAATAGAGGAGGAGCATGGTTTACCCCAGGAATTCTCAGCTGATCCTTCCTTCCTTCCTTCCTTCCTTCCTTCCTACCTTCCTTCCTTCCTTTCTTCCCTCCTTATCTTCCTTTCTTCCTTCCTTCCCTCCCTCCATTCCTCCCTTCTTCTCTTCCTCCCTATTTGAGAGAAGGTCTCTTTATGTAGCCCAGGCTGGCCTCCAACTCACAAGCCTCCCGTCTCAGCCTCCTGAGTGATGAGATTACAGGCTTGCCCCACCATGTTTGACCATACATGGGCCCTTACCAGTGGCCATAGTCTAGATGTTGTCTGAGGACTGTGTGGGGCTGCACAGTCCCATAGGCATCCACCTCTGGCATGTTCATGTCATCAATGAAGTAGATGAGCTTCTTGTTGCCTGGAGGGCCATAATTTCTACCAGCCTTCTTTTCTAGAGGTTTCTCCAGGACAGCTGAGGAGAGATGCAGTCATTAAGGGAAGGAGGCCCATACGGAGACAGCATAATCTGGAGGATAAACTGGTTTAGCTCACCTATGTACACACATATTCCACGGGACCAGAAGGTGGATTATAGGAAGTACCAGGCAGGAACCATGGTAGTACCCACTAGACACTGAACATCTTACTTATGCTAAGTTTTGGCAAATATGTGTCAACTCACTTAATTTAGATGACTTCAAAATCAGTACTACCCCATTGCATTGATGAGGAAACTGTGGTTCAGAACTAAATAATGCTACTAAGAGAGAGCCAAGATCTAGATGAGAGCAGCTAAATCTCAAAGCCCAAGATCCAGGTGTTCTCCCAGCAGCAAGGACAAGCACACTGTCCCTAGGAAATCTACAAAAAACTGGATCCTAGGTACATTTGCTCTTTCAGCCTAAGCAAAGGAGCATGAGAGCTCCAAGCTCCCATCCCAGGGTTGGTCAAGGTCCCCTTCATCCTGAGTATCTAAGACGAGATCGCTGGATATTCTGCAACTAGTCTGCGGAGTGATTAACTCATGGCATCTTCTACAATATAGAGAGTAAAACAAAGGCATGAAAAAATTTCTCAGATGCTTCTAGACTCATGAACCAGCTCCCAATACCACCTTTCATCTCCTGGTTCCAGAGCAGAGGATTTCAGTGTCTTTCTGGAGACAAAGTAGAGACTTTCCTCTGGACTTGTTTCTTCAATTATCAAGCCAAAGGGAAGGAATCAGACAGCATGGTTTCTAGCCTGATGGGACTTGTTGAGAACAAACTTAAGGAATAGGGAGGAGAGAGATAGTTTTTCTTTAGTAAAGCAATCAAATATTTATGGATTGCAAGAACCAACACTTTTTTTTATTACAGCTGGGTGCGCTATGAACCATCTGATTTCTTCTCTTGAAAAACAAGTTTGTAAACAAGGAGAAAGTGTCAGTGGATGTAGGAAGGTGACAGATAGAAAGACAAGTTCCTTCAAGAAGCTTGAATATTCTAATTTTCTGGTCCTGAGTTAAATTAAGTGTTTCAAATATGAATTAAACTTAAATTTAATTAGCATCCAATTAACATACACTATCAACCAATTAATCACCCAACACCTTCATTTCCCCCTCATAAAGATATAACAACTATATACGAGATCTGTCAAAATGAAATATAATTAATGGGATGCCAAGGACATGCTTTTGAGAACAGTCCTGCTAATAGGAAATTCTCTCTGTTGGAAGATTTATTCTCCTCTTCCCAAGGCACCCATATTCAAATCAACCCCTGGAATTAAGCAGACCTCGTAATTTGGGTTGATGAAGCTCTTTATGTGTTATGTGGGATGGTGGAGGAAAAGAGCATATCAGTGATCTCACAGTGGCCTTTGAGTGAGCTACACTTTCTCAAATGGATGATGGGAAGCAACCCAAAGAAAGGCAGGGAAAGCAGACCTCAGTTCTGAGCCTCTCAAGGCTGGGCTCTGCTCCATGTCATGTGGATGATGGATGAACTACATGGAGTAGTTCTATTTCCCCAGCAAGTGGGCAGGACTAGAAGAGCTCTGGAGGGCTTTATGTGTGAGAAAAGATGTCCATGTTGAAGGCACAAGTGATGTCTCACGAAAGGTGAGCTTCTTACGGCCATGGATGAATCTAGAGACAGGAGTCCATTCCTGGGTCCACAGATCATTTGTACATTCTCCTTGATTTTGCCTTAAGATGTGGAGGGCAGGAGGAGCTCAAGGTGAAGTCAATGGGTAGAGGGAGGCAGTGCCTTCTGCCTGACCAGGTCATACCAGCCCCCCAGGCATAAATTGGCCACCGCCATATTGGTGCCAGTCCTGGGGCTTGAACTTAGGGTCTAGGAACTGTCCTTGGGCTTTTCGTATTCAAGGCTAGCGCTCTGCCACTTGAGCTACAGCTTCAACCCCAGCCTTTTAATGGTTAATTGGAGCTAAGAGTCTCATGGACTTTTCTGCCTAGGCTGGCTGACCACCTTACATGGGAAGAGTAATTTCCAAATTTATCTCCTTTCATTCCATCAACACTGTGGCTGTTTTCCTCGTCTACTGGCTCTTCCCCAGTCACTCCAGCATCCTCTCAGAGAATGTTACCACTTTTCTGCTAGATCTTTCACTATACTCTGGAAACAGCAGACTGGTCCCCCAGTGCAGTGGAAGTCACATAATCCCAGTTTCCTGCCTCAGTTCTTCATGGAATTCCATCTCACGTCAGGTACCCATTCTGGAGATGTCTGTGTTGAATCTTACATCTCTGCCTTCCTCACCCATCATCCCCCACACGATTCCAAGTCACTCGGCTGCTCATACATCATCATTTGCTGCCCCAGGGCCTTTGCCCTGGCAGGCTCCTTTCCCTGGTATCTTTTGTCAAATGCTAGCACCTTTTGCTTTCTTAGTAATTTACGCAAAAGCTTCTTTTTTTTTCTCCCTAGTAAGGCCTTTCTGGGACTCTTGTCTAAAATTGAATTCCTACATCCCATTCTTTTCCTCTTCCTCCACTTCATTTTCCGTCATCACCCTCATCACTGCTTAATATTCGCAATATTTTTCTTATTCATCTGGTTGTTTATCTCATCCATCCCTCTACACCGGAATCTAAATTCTATCAGGGTAAGAGGACTTTCTCTTTGTTTTCATTGTCATAACCCCAGGAACTATCACATGGTAGAGTACTTGGGATTTTTTTTTTAAGTAAATTAAGGAGTGGATGTATATATTTTATTATTATGACCAGCTTCATGAGACAGGTAGAAAAAGTCTCATTGTCCCTAGAGGCTTGTAAGGACTTAGTGGTGAAGGCAACTTAAAGATCTTGCTGGAATTTCAGTTCTATTCCATTGGTCCTGAGGTCTGTTCTTGTGCCAGTTCCAAGCTGTTTTGATTACTATGGCTTTATAGTAGAGTTTGAAATTTGGTATTGATATTCCTCCAGCACTGTTGTTTCTGTTAAGGATTGTTTTTGCTATTCGGGGTCTTTTATTGTTCCATATGAATTTTTGGATTGCTGCTTCTATTTCCTTGAAGAATGAGGTTGGAATATTGATAGGTATCGCATTGAATTTGTAGATAGCCTTGGGAAGTATTGCCATTTTCACGACGTTGATCCTTCCAATCCAGGAACATGGGAGGCTTTTCTGCTTTCTAAGTTCTGTTTTGATTTCCTTCTTCAGGCTTTTAAAAGTTTTCATCATAGAGGTTATTCATTTCTTTGGTTAAGTTATTTCCTTGGAATAGAATCCAGCTCTTTACCTGATTCTGATATGCTCCTCTCTTTGGTGAGAGCCCTCGCATGGCTGTCTTGCTAGGTCATTCCTGTCAGATGGACACACTGGTTTCTCCAGTCTCTGAAGTCTAGAGAATCTCGTTTATTCCTTCTTCCACGCAGCTCTGCTAGGCACTGGGATGTCTGCACTGAGTTACCTCACAGACCCCTCTGTGATACATTAACATCAGTTCTTCAAAGCAGATAAACACACTAGGGTTTAGATAAATTAACCTATTTTATCTGGGTTTGGACAGCTACTACATGGCAGAGTCAGGATTTGAACTCAGGTTACAGTGGCTGTGGAATCTCACATGTAATCCTGGCTGCCAACTTAAACTTTTTAAACATGGCTTCTGCCCGTGAGAAACTCTCGTGTAGTTAATTTTGCCTACATCGTGTTGTTGTTGTTTTATGTCAGAGATCATTAATAATCAGGTCTTCGTTTGCATTCACACAATTTACATACCTGTGCAATCTATTTTCCCTTCATATTATCTAAGTTTTTCATCTGTTAGGGCTTTTCAGTTATATTTGTAAGAGCTTTTATTTTATTCTTTTATCTTTGCATGATTATAACGACAGTGCATCTTCTTTTTAAAGAGCATTAGAAAGCATACAGATTTACAATTTAAGAGACAATTGGTCATAATTCAATCTTACAAGCAGTTAGCAATACTTTTAATACTTTGAGTTTTTTCTCTAGAAATTTTCCTGTATAAAATCAGAATTATAATAAATATATTACATATGGGTTTGAATTTTACTTACTATATTACATATAATTTTTTATTTGTTTTTCTTATTTTATGAGACAGGGTCTTGCTAAAGAGTCCAGGCTAGCTGTGAACTCACCATCCTACCTTAGTCTCCCGAGTGCTGAGATTATAGGCGTGCACTACCATGCCTGACTCTATTATAGTGGCTCTAATGTAATTATGATTATATGATAATAAATATTTTCCTAATGTATGATTGCTGTATATTATGTTCCAAAGTGTGGATGCACCAGGATGAATGGAAACCCTTCTCTGTGGTCTGAAAAGTGTTGTTTAAAATACATTATACTTTGAAGTTGATGTGACATTGGTGTGTGGTATCTCCTGTCAGGATAACATTAAGTGAAAGAGCGCTGTGGATCTGTCACCATGACATACAGCATTCCTTTGAAGTGAGAAGTGTGATTTGATCTTTTATGATCTCATCCAACCTTAAGGTTTAATGAACAGGCCTCAGGAATTGATTTTGCACACACTTTCAGATATTGAGTTTACCTTAATTAGTGTAATTAAGCACTCAAATATTTATTGGACTAATAATTCACATCTCAGTTTGATGGCAAGAGAATTCAAGATGGCAATATTCAGCCCTCTTGGACACAGAAACTATAAGCCCATGAGTACCTTAACCAAATTCTTCGTATCTTCTTTTCTGTCTCTCTTGCTTGTGGGTCTTTGCAAAGTCTATTGTCTTTAAAAGTAATTTACATTATGAAAGAAGAAATTAGGGTATTTGATGAGCCAAGACCAAGCAAATTAGTTAATCACCTGTCATGCTAGCTATTCTGGAGGCTGAGATCTGAGGAACAAGGTTTGAAGCCAGCCAGGCAGGAAAGTCTGTGAGTCTCTTATCCTCAACTAACTACCAAAACAGTCAGAAGTGGCTCAAGTGGTAGAATTCTAGCCTTGAGCAAAAAGGTTCAGGCCAGA